TGGACTGAAGTAGACCCCGTTTTGTGCTTCATTTGTTGGGTACGGCTAAGTCCAAGAGCTTATGTGGTGGTTGAACACAAGAGAGACACAGGACTCCTTTGGCTTCTTTAAGTCAGTACCTTTTAATTGCCATTTTGCAACTTATGTCGTGTCTTCCCCCCACTTCCTTCGGTTCCATTTTACCTCCATCCAGAAAATGAGTTCCCCGAGAGCCAGGTGAACTTCATGGAACATTTTTGTAATCAATAAACTGCATCCCAGGGCGCCAGATTTTCTGGCCCACAGCTGCTTTTTCCCAAGCAGGTAGACAAGTGGCAGGGACCTCGTGCTGCGCAGATTGCTCAGACTCATCCCTTGTGCCCAGAATGCCTTGCTGTGTCCGCATGAGTGTCTTAGGAGCTTCTTGGAATGGAATTTGATTTTTCTTTTCCAGGCTGACAGATAAGGCAGTGAAGGACTACTCTGCTTATCGTTCTTCCCTTCTGTTTTGGGCCCTCGTCGATCTCATTTACAACATGTTTAAGGTAAGGAAGCTGGCGGAGGCCCAGCATGTGTGGGTAGGGCTATAAATTGTCCACGTTCAGGCTCTGACCTTGCCTCCACACTCAGGCCTGGGGGTGCTTTGCTCCTAAGAAGCAAATGCTCTGTGCGAAGGGACCGATGAGTCCTTGAGGTATATTTGTAGCCAAGATCACTCTCTAGCCTGCTCCAAACCCATGTTCTTAGGAAGACCTTCCCTCCCGGTCACCGCCCCTGCATTTGGATAAACTCTGCTGCCCTGTGTGAGCAGGGCCCCCTACAACCCCTCCTGCCTTAGGACCCTCTCTACCTTGAGAGTATTTGGGGTGGTTCCTCACAGCACCTGAATGAAACAGCTCAGTCAAAATGTGTGACAGTTTCCTTTGCTTTGCATGGGAAATGGGGTGGGGGGAGAATTCAGTTGATGGTTGGAGCCAGTAGCACAGCACCTAAAAGGGCTCTGTGAAGGACGAAGTTTTGTTGTTGCTGGAGAGAAACCCTCCAGGGAAAGCTGTGGTGTACTTGGGAGGCCCCTCTCTCTGCAGGGTTGAAATGGGCTGACTTGAAGTGTTAAACAGCCCACCTCCTCACCTGTCTCCTGCTGTTTCTTTTAGAAGGTGCCTACCAGTAACACGGAGGGAGGCTGGTCCTGCTCTCTAGCTGAATATATCCGCCACAATGACATGCCCATCTATGAAGCTGCCGACAAAGCCCTAAAAACCTTCCAGGAGGAGTTCATGCCGGTGGAGACCTTCTCGGAGTTCCTCGACGCGGCTGGTCAGTGTCAGGGTTTTCTCCTTTAAAGACTTCAGCAAAGCCCCATGTCTGCCTTAGTGCTTTATCTTCACCCATCAGAAGAAACACAGGTTTGATCCAGCCCTTCAGCTACAACCTGGGAAAGATGCATAGAGACCAAGTGTCCATAGCAGGAAAAGCAGCTCTGACCTGTGTGGAGCACTCACTATCTCCTAGGCCCCATGCTGCCTTTTGTACGTGGTCTTAGTCCTCCCTGTGTGAGGCAGGAGCTATGGTGTCTGCATTTTATTTTAATTTAATTTTATATTATTTCATATAGGGCCTTACTGTCTTGTGTAGGCTGGAGTGCAGTAGTGCGATCGTAACTCATTGCAG